GGGAGAGAGGGAGAGTTGGAGAGATGGAGAATGCAGCATACGCGTGAGGCATACATAAACTAGATCGTATCGCGCTGATTTCTTATAAAGACATTAAAAGCGATAGATGCCCCAGACCCCAGCGACATGCAACATTATGTTTTTTAGCTGGCCTGAACTCTGGTGAAATTTCATCTGAAAATAGTTTCTATACATATATATATATATATATATATATATATATATATATAGGTAGTTTATCTAATCAGGCAATGAATTTGTCTCTTTATTTTCGTAGATTTAATTTTTTACTACTTTTTTTAGGTTTTTTCCTGCACTTGGAAAAAGTTTGTTAAGAAATTGTTTTCTTCCGTTTCAGCTTGCAATATATTTCCCTTATATTTCACGTCTGAAGGTGACTACTTACGGTATATACTATATATATATATACACATATATATCATGCAAGTATATTTCACTTATTTTCCACTCTGGCAGGTGAATAGCTTGCAAAGTGAATCACATTGCTGTGCGCTGCTAACTTCTTATATATTATATAATTCAGATAATTTAATGACCTTTAAAAACTTAATTCAATGTAAAGTCAAGCAATTAGCACTTAAATTATGTTGTTAAACTAAATTCGTTGTAGCTGCGTTAAACAATTCGCATGAATTTATGCATGCAAAATTTGTGTTTTCTGAATTTATAAATAAATTTGAATGCGAATCGATGTATTGAGTGTTGAGTCTAATGAACGAAGACTAAATACCCTAAGGGCTTAGAAGCGACTTTATATATATATATATATTGCAACAGACAATCGGATCTGTGATAAGTTTAATGCTTAAAGTTTCAGAACAAAGAGATTAGTCTGCATTGAAAGACTCATAAATAAGTGGGCATGACTATATCAACTGATGGAACTTATAGGTATAATATATATAGCATGTCCATACTATATATGTATACACTGCCCAATGCCCGCTCAGTCAAGCAATAGCAGCTTCAATTCGAGCCACATCAATTGCCATAGACTTAACTCATGTGCCACGTTTCCCACTGTGCTTAGTCTTATAATCTCAAATAGTTTAGCAAACAAAGGAATCTTTTTATCTAATTCCAAGTCTCAAAAAGTCTAAATGCAATAGAGCCCAATAGACACACAAAAGAAAGCTCGAGTCGGGAGTGAACAACTTGGAGATACCTAAGCATATTCTGTGCATCCATTTAAGAGTCTATATATACGCATTTTATATATATATATATCTGTATATAAACATGATCTATATGTGACTATATATTTATATATATTATATAATGTTACATATTGCGTAACAAAATCATAATGCACTCGATGCACAGGGTATAGGAAGGTCTGACTGAAAATGTTCTTTAACTTGACTTTTGCACCACTGTGCAGCGGCTGGCAGCTAGCGGCAAATTTCGCTTGGCCCTAAAAAGAAGCGAACATAAATCATGTGGATCGTGCATGGAGAGCAGCATCTATCTATCCATAGCTGGCTTTCGATTGGGGCCTAAGCGGGTCAGATGCAGATGCGTGGGGCCAATTGGCCAATCGGGCCAAGACAGGTTAATTAACGATTTGTGCTAATTAAGTTGCGCAGCTGTGACAGCAGGGCACAGTAGCTCGACAAACGCTGCAAAAAAAAGGGGGGGAGGGGGCTAAGGAGGGGGATATGTAAAGGGGGTTGACAGCTAACGCTGTCGTCCGTCGTCGCACAGCAAATTATGCAAGGCAGTTGGTGTCAAACGTTGTTGTTGTTGCTGTTGTTGTGGTTGGGGGTTAATTGTTGTTAGCATAAGTATTTGGAGTAAGTGTAGCCAAGTTAGTCGGTGTGCTTGAATTGATTGCTTAGCATGCGTCAATCAAAAATGATTTAGAGCTCAACTTACCCATGAATTATCTCGGAATTGTGACATATTTTGTGTGGACATATGGGGGGCCCACTGGCGCCCAGTTGGCAATACGGTAACAGGTATAGATATATGTAAATATATATTTATATATATATAGCATAAGTATATATATGTATATATATATATATATGTGGATCTTGGCGTGCCGCGTTTACTTTCAATTTCGTTAACAATTTCTCGTTTTTTTTTTTGTTTCTTTGCTAAAAGTTTTCGTTTTCCTTTGCGCTGCGGCGGCGGCGACGGCGATGGCGGCTTTTGGCTTTCATCTAAGCATTTTGTAAGCAAAGCTGGACACACATACACATGCGCACGCACACATACAGGCATACACTCACAAGCTGCAGTTAAGCGTAACGCATGAAAATGAGCGCCAAAAAGTACAACACAAAAATATCGAAATTACAACAACAACAAGCACAGATAATGAGAGAGAGAGAGGAGAGAGCAAAGAGAGCTCAAGTTGTTTTTTTTCTAGTATTTTGATTTTTTTTTTCGTTTTTTTTTTTTTTGCAAGCACTCAGCCGCAACAGTGCACGACAATTATTATGTTTTATGTCAGGGCATATACCCTACATGTGCACAGGATACACTTGCAATTACATACAGTTTGGCTACTGCGGCGCATCAGATTCCGTGTCAGTTTTTGTTTCAGACACATTTGGGCCGCGCTTTAGTTACGGTTGGGCCACAGCCTTGCGTTTCATTTACATTTGGCAGTAACAGTTTCCCGTTTCCAAAGTTAAAAACAAAAACAACAAAAAAGGAAAAAGAAACACAAAAACAAAAAAACACACGATGAACGTTGGCAAATAATGAAAACCACAACAACAACGATACGAGAGCAGCGCGCAAAAAAACGGCAAAATAACCGCCGATAAGCAATTAGCGGAGCGCGGATTTTGCCCTCGAGTGCTGCGAACCGAACTTGTTGACTCTTCGCCGCTTACTAAACAGCAACTGTCCCAGTCCGATACTCAGGCCGATACTCGGTGTCCAAAGCCCGTGCTCCGCACCCCTTAACAGAGTTGGCTGCAGCTACGAACTTTCTAAACGCTTTACCGACGCTCATCGCTCATCGCTAGCTGGCCAGCTCGTCGCTCACCGCACGCCGCTCGCCATTCGCGGCACGATATTCGCCGCTCGCCGTACATCGATCGCCGCTCTTCTGACTTGATTTTCTTTTAGCAAGTGCAGGCGAGCTAAGCCAGCAACAGGTGGGCCGATATCTGCTGGTGCATTTCTCTGCTTAGCCAGTACACCAACCATTGCAGCGAAAATGTAATTTGAGATCTTCAAGCTAAGCTTTAAAGCTGCTGCGCACGCGCCGAAATACTCAACGGAATTGTTCTAGATATATGATTATTTAAGATAATTGAAGAGAGTAGAATAGAGAAAGTATTAAATCTAAAATGAAAAGTACAAAATACTACACAATCTTCTGAAACTTACAACACTTAAGTCTTAAGTTTTCTTTTTCTTTGGGTTAAAACTTATTTTAAAAAAAATGGGAAATTATTTAAGTTAAGTATTCTGGAAAATAGAAATTATCAATAGCAACTTAGAATTATTTTATTGCATAAATTCGCAGCTTCTATTGTTATCTGTCTTTTTTATAAATTCAATTCAAAATAAGTCAATTTAGTATCGAGTGTTTTCATTAGAGTTACATAAGTTTAAATCTTAATAAAACAAAGACATACATTTGTCACATAAGTTAAATTGGCTTTATTTAATAAAAATCGAAGGACTGATGTTTACTAATGACTTTTTTAATTGCGACAAAAACTTGTGGGCTATCCTCACTCCTAATGCGAAAAATTTTGTTTTTTTCGCCTAAAAATGGGTTTTACGGCTTTATGGCATTTCTCAAAAATATTTCTTTCCCTCTCTTTTCCTCAATTTACCTTTCTCTTTTCCATGTCTTAGTCAGAAATAAAGTCCATTGCCCATATTTGAGATCTTGGCTCATTCCCAATTATTAAATAGGAATCGATTCCAATTAAACAACAAAACATTCAAAGTCCTTTATTAGAGCGATTGCGTGTGTCAGTGTGTGAGTGTTTGAGTGTGTGTGTGTGCGTGTGGGCTTAGTAAGTATGATATATAAAATCATTTACATTTAATACATTTGTTACATTGGCATTGAAACTGGAAGCGATAAATTTGAATTAAAACATGACTTAAATAGCCCGAATCAATGGGCCATATACAAAGATATATATATATATATATATATATATATATATATATAAATGTATGCTTGTATATATATATATTTTTTTGAGGCAATGTTTTATATTTGTTACATTTTTATATATATATAAATTTTTTTGTTTTGTTTTTGTATTTAATTTATTTCAGCTGCCAAACAATGAATTCAGTACGTTCACAGAGAAACATATATATATATATATATATATATGTTATAGTTATATATCGCATATAGATAGAAAGAGAGACAAACAGAGAGAGAGAGAGTGAGAAATTGCAAGTGCATTTAAATGCAAAGTTTGGAATTGTTTGAGTTAAAGCTATTAGACAATGCATTTGCATATATATGCATATAAATATATATATATATATGTATATATATATATATATATATATATATATATATATGAAACCATACACACACATATACATATACAACATATATACTCTTAAGCTAAGTCTGAAACCAACTATTTTGCATGCGCGTTAAGCGGTTCGACAGAGGAAAGTGAATTGAAGAAGAGAACGTAAAATATTTATCCTTATAAATATATCTATATAAAGATATATATATATATATATATACATATATATATATATACATATATATATATATACATATAGTGCTATAGGCAGATAATGCGCATTGCGTTGGTTTTTCGATTACCATATAATAAAAACGTGACAACATTTCGTCAAGTCTGCAATATTCGTTGGCTCTAGTTACAATATGTTAATTTCTTCAATATATCATTATTATATTAGTGAATGTATATAAGTAGGCATAAATTGTTTGTTTATATTTGTTTTTGTTAATCGTTATTTTCTAAAGCTTTTTTGTTGTTGTCGCACAGATTTGTGTTTCGTTCGACTTGTTAACATTTGCGTTTCGAATTATACATAAGTTCGTATAGTTTACATATATATATTTATTTTAACATTTAAGTATATATATATATGTATATAGATGTTATTCAGTTTTTCTCTTGTATATATGTATATAAAGTTTAAAGCTTCTTGTATGAAATGCCGCACAGCGCATTCGTTTTACGTTCGTTTCTTCTGTTAACTTAATCATCTTATGCAGCGCAATACACAACATGAACGCGACGGGAAAATATACAATAAAAAGATGTAAATAAACTAAATTGTTTTTGCACTTGCCTGTGCCATCCACACATCCTTACACACTATACATAATCGAATATATATATTTAGATATATATATATATTGCAGCATACAATTAGTTAAAAAATAAACGATTTTTTGTTTTGTAATTTTATAGAACATCTCAATGTTGCACACGGAATCATTTGATTTGTTCTGTTTTGTTGGCACTAATGTTTCGAGCGACGCAATGAAAGTAATTTAAAATTTCCTTTAAAAATAATAGATTTTTTTTTTTCCTTTTTTTGTATATTTGAACTAAGTGCAACAAATATAGCTGGCATCGTCGACATCCTCATCTTCGTATTGTTGCTCTAACTGCAGTTGTAATTGTAATTGGAAATTGCATCCATATTTGTCGCTACAGGTGTTTCAGAAATGGCCGCCGTTGGTGTGCTCGCTTTGGGTGCAAAGTAAACCTCATAGTTGTAATATCAAAGCTCGTCGCTCGCAACTGGGTGCTCCTGCACGTACTCCTTGGGAAAATAGCCAACCTGCACGCGAATGCATTCAAATACATTAATATATATGTCTATATAGATATGTATATGTATGCCGTACCGTATCACCAATTTTGCCACGCCACCAGCCTTTGCTGTCGCCATCCTTGCCAATTACAAGCACCTGGCAATCAGTTCGCAGCTGCAGCTGATTGCTGCCGGCCTTTGGATCGAAGTCGTACAGCGCTGTGGCAATCACCTCGCGGAAGGGCCATTGCAGCGACTGATTGAGCCTGTGAAGAAAACGCACAAGTGAATGTGATGGTAATAGACATTTCATATTTTCGCTTCAAGTCACACGAACCCGGCAAAATTTTCACCCAGGTCATTGCGCTCATAGTAGGAGACCAGCTCGACGATGGTCTTGAAGTGACGACGCGATGATAAGCAATAAAGCATGGACTCGCCGTCGTTTTCCTGGTTAATTTTCATGTGCTTAATCACATGATCATCGGTTCTGCACAGAAAGAGAGATAGAAAGCGAGAGAGAAAGAGAGAGAGAGACAGATAAGTAATGTGCTTATATTTGAAACAAATTTAGTTTGCACTCACTTCAGGCTGAGCGCATACATTGTCTCGTGCGGCGAGGAGGCGCCCTGGGGCCGCACGCGCAGCAGATAGGTGCCAATGCGGCGATTCTCCAAGCGATTGGCAGCCGTCTCGCGATCCATGTTGCCCACAAACCAATTGAATTCCGACAATTGGCGGTCGCAGACGGGCGGCGGTATGCTGACCGGATTCTGCTTGCAGCGACCCGTCGATGAGATGCAGCCCCTGTGCACACTTATCTGGCAGACCTTGCAGCGATAGCCCTGGTGTATGCGGCCCTTCAGGAATTTCGAGCAGTGCCGGCACGTCGTGGGCGCATCGAAGGTGTAAATTTCCATTTTATGGTCCGTATTGCGGCAGCCAGGCGGATCGAGGCTTTCCCTAAGTGAAGCAAGCAAATAATGTAAAATAAATGTGTGCGCACTGGGGGCTTCACTGTACTTACATGGCTTCAGTGAGCGCCTTGCGCCACTTGTCCCGCTCATGCTCCGACTTCAAGTAGAGCGTAAAGGCGGTCTTGGCCGATTTACGGGCTAGCAGCAATTGATATTTGAAGCGCGTATCCCGGCCGAGCGTGCGACGCGAATGGCTCTGCTCGACGCGATAGTCGGCGAGATTGTGCGAGTCCCGATATGTGTACTGCATGTCGCCGGTCTTAATGTGCAGCGGCTTGACCAGGATGAGAATTTTGTCGAACACAAAAGCGTAGCGCATTTTGGTCTTCTGATCCTCGTGCGCCTTGATATGCAGATCGCCGTCGAGCAGCAGGCGGCCATATTGCAGCAGATCGTTGCCGTTTTGCGGCAAGTTCAAGTCGAATATGCTGTCCTTGACCTTCTGTATGATGACCAGATGGTCAGAGTCGCGCTTCACCTCATTAATGTACTGCGAGACATCGATCATGGCGTCCTTGGCGCGCTCCAACGAACGGTAGTCCTCGTGCAACGGCGATGTCTCCTTCACCAGCTTGTCCAGCAGCAGATGATACTTCAATATGCGCTGCATCGGCACCGACAGTATGTCCCGCAGCTGCAGTTTGCCAACGTTGTATTCGCGTTCGCATTTCTGCACCAGTTGGTCAATTATTTGGTTTTTCTTGCACACATCGGCTAGGTAATCTATGGCGTTCAACAGGCACGAGCAGTACTCGCCGTAGATGAGGAAGGGCTCGCGGAACTCAAGGAACACTTGGCCCATCTTGTGCTTTGTGTTGGGCACCAGCGATTCGCGCAGCTTCTCCAGAAACTTGGTGTGAATATCAGCCAGTTCCTAAAGAGGAAGAAAACAAATATGTTAGATAAGCAGCTCTCCGTATGGAAGCCTCTTCCAGTCTGCCAATGCTCACCCGTATGCGGGGAAAGATGAGACGCAGTTCATCTTGATTGAGATGTCGCTCCAGCGGTAGCATGAATTTGGCTTTGAGTGCATTGAGCACATCCAGATAGTTGGATTCGGTGTCGATGAGTTCGCGTATGACATAGTCTCGCTGCTCAAAGCTGGTCGCCGACGTGGTCTACAGGAACGGGAAGAGATGCAAACATTTAGCTTATCTGAGCTGAGTTTAGGCAGCAGCGGCAGCCTTGTCATAGAGTCATGCAACTAAGCATAGCTAAACAATGTTCTTTTGGCAGGCTTTGTATGCAGATAATGTACAAACTTAAATCAAATTACTACCTGGCCTCTACTCGTTCTGTGCAGTGCGCACAAATCTTGATAGACCTCCTCTTCTTTCGTGTTGATGTGATCATAAGCGGTTCCATTGCATGCAATATTGTCGGTGGGACTACATAAATAAATGAAGAACGAAAGAATAAAAATAATAAGGAATTCAACGCAAAAATGAATCATGATGGAAAATTATTTATAAAAATTAAATTAAAATGCGCGCTCAAGAATTCATTCATTAATCGCATACAAAAATCGATATCGATAGCTCGATACGTAGCGATTGTACCCCTACCAACTGAGCACAACAGCAGCCTAACATAGCAGCCATATGAATAACATTAAAATGATAACTTAACAGAACCAGGGAGGGCGGACAGCAGCAGCTCAACAGCAACAGCAACAGCAGCAGCCGAGCATCCAATTGACTTTTTTTTTTTGTGTTCATTAATTTGGCTGTGCACGTGCGTTGAAAGCATTTTCAACTGCAAGACTTCGCAATGGAGCACCATACATATGCGAAAAGTGGCTCTAAGAAGTGTGAGTAAGACAGCTGCATGTGCACTTTGGGCTAATATTCTGATATATATGGTATATTACATGCGACTTAGGGTCTGTGGAGGAGAAGCGTCTGCTAGTGACAAAACGCATCGAAGCTGAGGATTTGTTCTCCAAATATTCGTCGAAGCAGGCGGAGCCATGGAAGTAAGTGCGCTCATCAAATATGTGTGTACACGCCGACATAGGCATGTATACGATTCTGTTTGTATGTATGTCATTATTGGTGCATTGCAGAAAGTTCAAGGACATGGCCAAAATAGGCGACTACAGCGAGCGCGCGCTGCGCAAGCAGTGGCTCAACATGGTGCAGCGGTATCGCATACAGAAATCGAATATGCAGGTGACGCCGCTCAACAAGCAGTGCATCGATGTGCTCAATGAGGAATGGGAGTTCTTTGGCGAGATACATGCATATATGAATCAGAAGACCACCGACCTGCACTCCTATGCCCTCAAGGAGCCCAATGTGCAGGAGCAATCACTGTCGCCGTCGCAGTCGCCCAACAATTTGGCCATACGCGGCGTTGTCAATGATCACAACTTTGGTTCATTGATAGCCAAACAATTTCAAAGGGAATTCCGGTTGGAGCCGGTGGCTGTGGAGCAAGCTGCACCGCATGCGCAGCAGGATGAGCTGGCCATGAGCTCCGCTGACCAGCGCTACACTCGCTTTAATGCGGAAACTGGTGGGGATTCGCCCCTGGATCTATTCACTGATTCGGACTCGGAGGAGAGCTCACAGCCATCGGATCCGGTAGCCGTTGAGGTATCCGATCTATCTGAAGTGGAGTCCCTTCTGGCCTCGCCCTTGCCCGCCAAGTCAGCGTCCGATATATGCGAGACAAACACGGGGGACACGGGGGGCGAACAGCTGCCCGCCAGCTTTGAGACAGCATCGGGCTCAATACCGCTGGACGATCAGCAGCAGGCAGCCAAATCAGCCAGCTGGTCGGGATCAGCATCGCTGATCGAACAGCAACCAGCAGCCAACAGGCCGACGGCCCACAGAAAGCGCAAGGCCCTCAGCGAAAAGGATAAATATTATAGACATCGTCGCCGCTACGAGCATCGCATGGAGCGACGTCTGGGCGGGCTGTGCAAAGTTGCTGGACAGCTATTGGAGCAGCTGGTGCCCGGCGTCAGTGTGACGCCGCTGCTCACAAATATCTACAATAGCGTCGACGACTACAACTGCAATAGCAGCTGTGACGACGACGACGGCGACGGCGAGGAGTCCAATGATGATGTGCCTCAGCAGTGAGCGGAGAAGCTCGAAAACATCATGTTCCTCTATATAAGAATCATATATTGCTTTATTTACACACACACACATACACACACACAGGCGCACACACACGGACAGGTAAAAAGGAAAAGCATGAACTGTATTTAAAGAAAAGACTTGACAAAGCATGAAACGCTAGTTCGAAACAGGATCTCGCTAGGATCAGCAAGGATTATTGTAGATACTCGCTTATGGCTAACACACACACACATGGAAAAGATGATATAGATATATATATATATATATATATATGGATAGATACTTATGTAAATATAGGCAACGGATTGCGCGAAGACGGAAGGACAGAAGCAAAGATTTGTGTATTAAGACTTTCCGGGACTGTTCTAAAAGACCTACTCAAATTGGTTTAGATAGCTGATATATATAGCATATAAAGATGAAATTTGATTGTTTATTCTTAGAGTGTAACTATTATTTATAGTTATGTGCATTCTTCAATATAACTTTATGCTCAGAGTGGAGATTTCGTTTTTGGTTTTACTTGTTTCGGCGAGCCATAAATCAATGCCTATCGTACAACTATCTATGTCATACATACGGATAGATCGGTTTGATTTGGCCTGGGTTACGGAACTCAATTTGGATTTGGAGATTAGCTGAAATGCCAGATAGCACTGCGAGAGAGATAACGCGCCTCGGCAGAGCTGGCAAACAGAAAACCCAAATAATGTCGATCGATATCATGAGCGGCCGTGAGTCAGTGGGCCGTGTCTGGCATAGAGTATACCCAAGCCATACACTTGCGAATTTTCCCGCTTTGGTTGACAACCGATTTGATTATAAGCAAAAGAAAAAGAACAGCAACAGAAACAAAAACAGAAACAAAAACAAATATATAAATAAATGGTATGCCGTTTCCGTTGTCAGTTTTGTTCAATTGGAATTGCATTTTATGGTATGTGGGGTACGAATAGTGGTGGAGGTCTGTTCAGAGAGTGGGGCTGGGAGCGGGAGCGGGCAAGCAGATAACGAAACGGAAAACAGAAAGCAAACAGAAAAGTATGCACACACATAATCCGACACATGTATATATATATATAGATAGATAGACAGAGAGAGAGAGAGAGGGAGATAGCGAGCGAGAGGGAGGGAGAGAGAGAGAGAGAGAGAGACGCATGGGTTGCATTGTTGGTGCAGGTGGATCTATAGCTATGTATGAGTGAGGTGTGATTGGTAGCTAATGATGAGGAGCTGTGAATGCTGTGAAGCCGTTAGCCAGTGGCAAGTGGTGTGTGTTGGGTGGTGATGATGATTGGGTGATAGCTGTTAGGTGGTGTTACACATGGTTGGTTATACAGCGAAACGAGTATGTGGAGCACACCTCTGGTTTGACCTTGGACTGGAACGTTACGTAGCAGAGATCCTCATAGACCTTCTCGTCGTCCTCGCTGTAGATATCATTGATGTAGGCGTACTCGTGCTCCGTCGACATCATCATGGAGGATCGATAGTTGTAAACGGCGGCGGCGGCTCGCTGCAGGCGCTGGCTTTCGCTGACAAACAGCGACGACGATGAGGAGCTGTTCGACGCGTGATGCTGCTTCTCGAAGAAGGAGTTCTTTCCACATCCTGTGGCTGTCGATGCCAGGGCGGCAGCGGCTGCTGCTGTTGCGGCTGCTGACTGTGCTGCTGCTGCCGCTGCTGCAGCTGCAGCCGCAGCTGAGGTGCTCGCCTTGGGCGCATCTAGCTGCGGCGTGGGCGTGACACAGTCGAAGCTGCCGCTGCTACCCACGGTCAGATTGAGATCAAAGGAGAGCGCGCGCAGCTGCTCCTGGACGGATTGATTGACATCGACGCTGACGGCATCAGTGTCGATCGTTGAATCACACATATTGGACAGCGAGTCCTCGATATAATCATCAATGTCCTCGGTGCCATTCTCAATTGTTATATCGCTGTTCTCATCCTCCACTGAGAGCGAGCCGCTGTGCGACGTTCGCTCGTAGTACTCCGAGGATGATGAGCCGGTGGCATCGATGCTGCCAGTTGTCTTCAACTCATTGCTGCCGGCAGAGGGCGTGATGGGGTGCGGGGGCATACAGAGGCAAGCACACATACACGCACACACACGCACGCACGCACACAGAGGAGAGAGCGGACGTACAGCCAAAGCATGGGAGTTAGGCGAGATATTTTTTTTGTTTTTTTTTTTTTTTTTTGGGGCGACAAAAAGACAATGTATTAGAGGGAGAAAGAGATGGAGCAGACAGCCGGAAAAAGAAAACGAAAACAGGGGGAAAAGAGACAGAGAGACAGAGAGAGAGAGAGAGAGAGAGAGAGTGTTAGATAAAGCTGGGGCATGGATATTTGTTGGTTTTGTTACTGTTGATGTTGATGTTGATGTTATTGTTGTTGTTGCTGATAAGCAGTCAGACAAGAGCTTAAGCGGGTCTCGGGTCAATGGTGTGGCCATCGGGACATGGTCGGTTACGCGAGCGCATAATGAAATCCGAATAAACATCGCAGACAGGAAATGCAAGAAGAACGAACATTTCAAATGCAGCGCCAGCAGCCACAGCCTCAAGAGCTTGGCTAAGAGCTGAGGTGGGTTGTGTTGTGACGGGGAGAGACTGGGCGGGGCGGGGCGGGGTGGTTATTGGGGGTGCAGAGCACGCACTAAAGATAACACACGGCGTACAAACAGAATATCGATTCAACACTTACGTGGAATGCAGATCCTTGTATATGGCCTCATCCGAATGGGAGCGTTCGCTGGGCGACAGCTGCAAGTTGAAGCCGCTGCAAGCAATGCAAATAACAAAATGAATTGGGCAATCGTTGAGAGATTAAGATGTGGCTAAGATAGGCTCGGCGGGCACTTACAGCAGCTCCGGATGCAGTTGCTGCACCTTGCGGCATTGCGACAGCTTGGAGAGCGTGATGAGCACGCGATGGAAATTGGTTAGGTCGTAGAGCATTGTGGGCTCGAAGAGATCCGCCTCGCGTATATTGAAATGATTGTGACACACATCCAGGAAGAGCTTGATGTTCTTGCAGCACAGAAACTGAAATCAAATCTCATCTTAGTTTTGGTTACATTTTAACGTAACGTTACGGCTCACCTGGGCCATTTGTGGCTTGCGATTGAACTCGCGCGCGTCCATGCTGCTGGGATCCAGGTGTATGACCAGGTTGCAGAGAAGCACGCCATCGCGCAGCGTCATGGCCAGAATGCGTATCTCGGCGTCGGGCAGGGCGGCCTTATGGTCGACTGGTATCACCTTGCAGCGGACCAGCCAGGCAACGCATTCGCGCCACAAATCACCATTAACAGCCGCTGCCGCTGCTGCTGCTGCGGCGGCGGCGGCGGCCGAGGCTGACGAGGCCGAGGTTAGCGTAGCTGCAGCTGCAGCACTGCTGCCAAAATTGTTGGAGGCCATTTGTTAGCACTCGCTCGTTTAGCTGAGCCTGGGCCAGTGCCTGGGGTCTTGGGCGTGTGTGTGTGCGGGCAGCTTTTGCTGTTGTTGTGGCTTTTTGCGTTTTCCTTTTGCTGCTTTCTTGATAATGGCTGGGCGGATTGGGTAACGGTGGCGGGGCGTCGTTCGGGGCGTGAGGCGCGCGCATAAATTTTTCTATTTATTTATTTTTTTGTATTATTTTTTCGATTCCGTTTAATGAAAACAATTGAAACTCATCAGTTGGCCGTTGCGCGTTGCCGTCAACAGATACACAGCGACAACAACAACAACAAGAGCGAAAACAACATTAAGGGCACCGACAGCAACGGCGACAGCGACTGCGACGGTAACGGGAAATCGTACTAGAAACAATTATTTGTGGCGAACGCCAGCGGTCGGACGCTCGTTTAATTTCTTCTCTATATATTCAATTGATATTTGCTATTCCACACTTAATAGATTGCACGGAGGCGCTTACACGCACGCACACACACACACACACAGACACGCTCACCCACACATGCAAGCGCAGCACAGCTGAAGGGATGCGAACACGACTGTTAAGCATCGCTTAGCGTTTGCTATTATCGATACATTGACATAATAATTTCTGTTACGCTTACCGTGGCCTGAAATAAACTCTTTTAGCAAAATGTCTCATCTTGAAAAATTAAATATTTTATAAGGTTTCATATTACGTAAAACTTATTCGTTCAATGATTAGTTTGTGAAACTGTTAACCTGCACATAAGCTGTTAAACTCATAATAGATCTGTTATGCTCATATTGGTTTTGTAATTTGCCTTATATATCGATTATAAGACATATATCGATTAATCTAGGTGCGCCTAGCACATGGTTGCATTTTTAAGTTTAGCGCTAGACTTAAACTTAAATTCATAAGCTTGTTATTTATATTGATTATATGAATATGAATAAGAAAGTTTATTTAAATTTAATTATATCATACGCATTTCATAAAATACCGAATTCGTATGCTACATGTTAAAAAGGTTATTTTTAGGTAAGTAGTAATTAATGTAAAATCTATAAAAATGATTCATTCTGTTATAACAGGTGTACATATGCATTGAATAAACAATAAATTTTTAAGCATAGTACTATCAATAGCTTTCCAACTGTCGAATACGTATTAAAAATATTACTCAAATTCAACTATAAAAAGCTGCGGAATTTGGACAGAACAATTCCCATAAATTTCGCTTCATGCATATATTTCATATTTATTGGGCAGCTGGCCCAGGGAAGCGAATTTTGTGCTCTGCGGGAACAGAAGCTGCCTTGGCAACAATCTCTGGATGTTCTTGATATGGAGGGGCCAGAGCAGCTGTATTTTATAGTTGTCTGCAGTGGTCGTAAACAAAACATAAGCAGCAGCAGAAAAACAAAAATGAAAAGAACTGTAAGCTTCAATAAACAAAAGCTGATCCGAAACGAGGTGGCGGCCATTGCTTGTGTGCACCTCACAATAACAACAACGCCAAATAGCGTGTATTCTACTTGGCTCTTCTCTCTTTTCAAAACGCCAACGAAAAAAGAAAGGAAGAAGGAAAGAAAAAGCACAACAAATTATAAGCTTGCGATAAAACAAAGAGCGCAAATTGAACTGGGCGAAAATTAAAAAAAGAGGAGCAACGAAAATGAAACAAGTAACGACCGCAGACGCGGCAGCACCTGAATCGCAGACCCAAGTATCAACTTGACCAGGAGGCACAAACAATTTGACGGCCTGTCGGGATGTCAGCCTGGAGCTGACCGCCTGGGCTGCGTGCCGAAATCAAAGATAACGACTCATCAACGGCGTCATAAAAACGTGACATCAGTTTTATTGCTGCGGGACGTCAGCGACAGCGAAAGCAACTGTAAAAACGGCAGCGGCGGCGGCGGCGACGTCATCGTTTGAACGTCGCGTCGCAAAAGGTCACGTTAAAGGCAAAGGCAGCAACAGCAGCCGAGCAAAGCAAATGCCTGCGAAGCAAAGGAAAGCAAAGCTGAGCAATGGCGGCGACAGAGCGGCAGACGCGCGAAAAAGAATTGCGGTATAAGCTATGGGGCAAAAACTAACATAACGCCAAAAAAAAAACAGTACTGTTCACATAAAAATAGACACTTTAGAAATTAGCATGTACATGTGTGTATGTGCATGTGTATGTTTTAGATCTTACTCTGTAATAATTTTAAATTAACTGAAAATCATTAAAAATCTTAATATGTAAATTATACTTAGAAAATCTTATTTCACAAACAAATATTGCAATTTACTCAATATAAAACTGTGAAGCTGAGTATCTTCGCAGCACACATCTTATTGATGTTTGTTTTTGGCGCTGCGACTTCTGCTGCTGCTTACGTTACGAATTGCTGCACAGCCAAAGCGGCGCCTAAGCAACTCACAAAGATCAAGTAAATGTAGAGGCACAGGCGACAAATGTGTTGCTAACGTGATTTAAGTTGCTTTTATATTAATGTAATTTCATGTAATTTAATGCAATCAATTAGATTTGAAACAAAAAGGTATATACCTATTTCCAAGAATTGAAAACTTATTTGTAATAGTTATTATTTACGCATGTTGTAAATTATATTAGTTTCAATATAAATACTTTATATAAATACTTTAATTACAATATTATGTTTTGATTTTTTGTAAAACTAATTAATCTAAAGCTGCAAGTTAAGTTGTATTTAATTGGAATGCGAAATTTATCATGCACACCTTTTCATTCATGTTACTTACAAAAACTAAGGAAGAATAATAAAAAGAAATAGAAACAACAACAATAACAGTTGAGTAAGTTCATTCTTCACTCAGTCCATTTGTCTGATTAATTATTGAACGTTCCCCTGGCGCGCATTAAAATTCATTTGATGCGTTTCTTGTCGCCTGTCAGAGTTTGTTGCTCTGCCATTTTCTTCCATTTCTATACCCTGCACGCATGAAAGGGTACGAAAGGCCAAGTAACTTAGAAGTCTGTGAAATGTACATAAATATATATGAGCTTATACAACCAATTCAATTTGCTCAATTCTGTATATATAATTATACCAATTAATTTCTTTTGAAATAAATATTCAAGCATTATTTTTGTCACCATTTTGTTTTCACAGTCTCTTTTCTCCTTCCTCTGCTAGCTGCCAATATCATTTTATTACAGGGCATCTCTGCCATCGATAACTCACTGTTGGCTGTTTAATATATTTTTTTCGCTTTTTCCTTTTACTTGGCGTTTGTGTTGTTGCTGGTGCGAGCCGGTTGATGAAATGGTTGGAATTCGTTCAAATGTTACTGTGCACAGCGAATATTTCAAGTATTTAGACAAGTTTTTCGGTTGTTGCAACATAAATAAATAAATGAAATCAATTTACAGTGCGCTGAGGCGAGAACTGGCGCTGGGATTGGGTTTGCGATTTGGTCACTTTAGTATATGGCGAGCTGGCCCATCAACTTGTCGTTCTTTCACTGCTATCGGAGCACCACCCACCCGACGTCACGCCTTCCGCTCACGCACCACGTTGATTAATTGTCATCGTTGTTGCCGCACTGTGCAAATACAACAACAATTGCCTCAAATCACGTACAACAGCGCATGTCGCAGGTGAAACGGCGTACAGAAGTCAATGGGCACGCCCGAATAGGAATTGACGGGGGGTGGAAGGGGCGTCGAGTCTCAGGTAGCTACTTAGATTTTGCTCGCTGTTGCTGTTGCCGTTGCCGTTCGCATTAACATAAATAAATCACTCACCGCCATCAATCAGTCTGTTTGCATTCGGCGCACAGCCACAGAGAACAGCTACTACTATGCCCCCGCCCCCAGACTAGCTCTGCCATTCATACAATTTCCCTTTTGCCATTCTTTGTGCGCTACGTTGTCGTCGCTTTGCTTTATGCTTACGCGCATATTATTTTGATTTATCGATGTCTCGACTATTAAGCAATTAACTTTCGGTGCTGCCGTTGCGTGTCCTAGACAAAGGGCCTCATCTTTAAGGACTTCGAGAGCGCAAAAACCGCAGTGAAAGAAAAGCCAACAAGAAATAAAATAAATAAACAGGCAAAAAACTAACTAAATAAATTATGTGGCTAAATGCAAAAAAAAAAAAAACCGAAAAAGTTTGTTGCCTTCTTGCGGCACAAAGTGCAAACAAGCAATGGACGTTGCGTTGCGGTCATTTTTATTCATTAAGGGTTTATGTGTGTGTGTGTTTGTGTGTGTGAGTGTGCAGCAGCCGCAAGGACAACGAGTAAATAGTGAGCACTGAGCAAACTCTTCAAATAGCCTTCATGCGAAATATATTCGCATCAACAATTATGTCGCACAAAGGAATTACAAATGAGAAAAATATTCCGTTTTGCATTAAATTTGCAACCAGCGGACGCTAAGGTATCATCAAAAAAAAAAAAGAGAAGAAGAAACCCTCTTTCATTTGCATTGAGATCAATTTATTAAAAACTCTTCTTTTTGACGCATTATTCAGCAGAGAAGAAGCTTAACTCGATGGCAAATAAACATTTTGTAGGACGAGGAGCTGAAGCTTCAAATATCATATTTCTGAATAAATCATTTACTTGCACTGTTAGCTTAAAGTACATGGAAAACCTGATGTGATTGCTCTATTTTGATTTAGATTCGAATTCCAATATTTCGGATTCAGATTCCCTTATTAATTTCGGATTCAACTATTCTTGCTTTAGTTTAGTCTTCTTTCTGATTCGGATTCTGGTTAATCATTTGTGTTTGTTTGAAATTCGGAGTTGAATTCGGATTCAACTAATCTCGTATCAGTTTCAGATTATGATTTTCGGACTTAACGAATATTTGATCAGATTCACTTTCAGCTATTTACTTTTCAAATTCGGATTATATAACTCTTCTATTAGATTCAGTCTCAATTATTTGCGTTGCAGATTCGGAGTAAGCTATTCTGTTTTTAAATTTACATTCGGATAACCCTTTTTCGGCTTAGTTATTCTTGTTTCCGATTTTTATTCTAGTTTCAGATTCTCATTAAGGTATTCTTGCTATAGATTCGGAGTTAGATTCGCACTAAATAAATATTTTATTAGATTCGGATTCAGCTATTCTCGTTTTAGATTCGGATTAGAGAACTCTTTTCTTAGATTAAGTTTCGGCCTTTTGCGTTTCGGAATCGGGTTTTGCCATACTTGTGTCTGATTTGGATTCCGGTATCAGAATCGGACTTAGCTATTCTCGTTTTAAATTCGGATTCAGTTGCGATGCTGTGCTCAAATTCTCCTGCTTTGATTTGAAATTCGAACTCTTCTTCTCTGGCTTCGGTTATGGTTACATACTCTATTCTGTTGAGCTATGTTACTGTCCACGCTGACTCGCATATGTAAATAAAATATTTATTATAAATATGTATGTATGTATGTGTGTGCTCGTAATTATGCCCGTGGGATTGCGGGTAGTTTGTTCACGCAGCGGCAACCTTGTGACCGTTTAAGGAGTCCAACTATTTACCATTACTGTGCCAAGCGCCACCT